AAAAAAAAAACTCGATATATTTCGTTCCACCCTCTAATTATTTATTACTTTTGGTAACAATAATAATAATAATAATAATAATAATAATAAATAATAAAACAGTGATGTGATATCGACATTAATTTAATTGTAATTATCAATTTATTTTTTTTTTATATTTCTTGTGATTTCAATATTTTTACATTTCATTATTTCATTCATTTTTTTCTCATATATCATAACACTATTAATTAAAATATTATATTTATCTGTGGGAGTACATAAATGAATAAATAATTAAATACAAAAATATATCGTCACGTATAAGAATTGATTAAATGCAAGAGATCAAACAAAAAAAAAAAAAACTCGTAAAATAAATAAATTTATTAATTGAATTAATTATAATTAAAACAAAAATAAATTGTTTTCATTAAATAAAATAATTAATGCAATTTTTAAGAAGATAAAAAAAGGGTTTTACTCTTATTAAAATAAAATAAAAAAAATTTATATTTACCCTTTTTTCGAGTGGGGGTTTTGAGAGTGACGCATATTAAATATTAAAATGATTGTTTTTCGATTTGTTTTATAATTGATTTAAAAAAAAAAAATTTTCTTTTTTTTAAGGACGGTCTCAGAAGACGAATGGACAAATTGAAGAGTTCCATAGAAGAAGCGAATCAAGCAATTGATAAAGAAAAAGAAAAAAATGTCAGTTTGCTTCATTTAATATTTCCACCGAATATTGCTGAAAAACTCTGGCTCGGTACGATCAATTATAACATTTTATTTATACAAGTAAGGTTTTTATTATTTATGGTTTTTTTTTTTGTTTTTGGGGAGCAGGTGAAACAATAGACGCAAAAGCTCATGATAACGTAACAATTTTATTCAGCGATATTGTTGGATTTACGTCCATATGTTCAACTACAACCCCTTTCATGGTAATTAAAATGCTTGAAGATTTATACAGTCAGTTTGATGAATTTTGCGGAGTATTGGATGTTTATAAAGTAAATATAATAAATTTTAAAACAATTATTAGTAATAATTTTTACATTTTTATTACCGTGTTATGTTTTTCAATTTTTTTTTATTGCTTCTTTTGTTTTTTTTTTTTTTTTTTACACACTGCAAATATTGAATCAAAAGTTTCCCTTTCTTTTCTTTTCTTTTTTTTTTTGGGGGGGGGGATGATTTGTTATGTGTCAAAATAAAAAGAAAAGAAAAAAAACAGACAAAGGTCATAAAAATACACTGACGAGTAGTTGTTTGCTCGTAAATAATTATGAGGCATAAAATAAAATAAAGAAAAAAAAAACTAAAAATGTTTGAACTTTGATTTTACGACATGAAAAATGAAATCAAACACCGTAAATTTCCTTCCGAAAAAAAAAAAAAAAAGGAAAAGAAAGGGAAAACTTTTTTTTTTTTTT